CATCATCATCATCATCATGATCATCATCATCATCATCATCATCATCATCATCATCATCATCATCATCATCATCATCATCAACATCAACATCAGCATCAGCATCATCATCAGCATCATCAGTATCAGCATCGTCAGCATCAGCATCATCAGCAGCATCATCAGCAGCATCACCATCCTCATCAGCATCCGCATCAGCATCATCATCAGCATCATCATAATCATCACCACAATCATCATCACAATCATCATCATCATCATCATCATCAGCATCAGCATCAGCATCAGCATCATCATCAGCATCAGCAGTAGCAGCATCATCAGCATCATCATGATAATCATCATCGTCATCATCATCCTCCTCATCATCCTCATCCTCATCCTCATCCTCATCCTCATCCTCATCCTCCTCCCCCAGTTCCTCCTCCTCCTCCTGCTCCTCCTCCTCCTCCTCCTCCTTCTCCTCCTCTTCATCTCATCCTCATCCTCATCCTCATCCTCCTCCCCCACTTCCTCCTCCTCCTCCTCCTCCTCCTCCTCCTCCTCCTCATGCCACAACGCCCCTCGCCGCGCCCCCGAGGAAGAGCAGCAGCAGCGGCAGCAGGAGCAACGGCGGCAGCAGCGGGGCGCCAGACCGCGCGCGCGGCGGCGGGCGCCCGCCCGCCGGAGAGCGGACGCCTAACTGGAGGCGCGGGGCGTCCTCGTCAGGGTGTGCAGCTTCCGCCCATGTTCGGGGGTGTCCACGAGGGGGGCGTCAAAGGGGGGGGGGGGCGCAAATCATGGCCAGCGGCATGTGCGCGGCCCAGGGGGGGGGGCCTGGGACGTATTGAGATAGGAAGGGGCGCCATGAAATCTGGGGAGGTAGCATGGCCCCGGCAATCATTGTATCCACCCACCCCCTGGTCATCACCCCCCCCTCTCTGCCGCACCCGACAGGTGCGGCGTCGTGCGAGCGAGCGAGCGAGCCACCAATGCGGAGCTTCCTCCGGGCCTATCTGAGGATAGTACGACGTGTGCTCCCAGGAGGCGCGCGTCCGACCAGATCATGAGAGCATGTGTATCGTCTACCTAGCAGTATGGCCAGAAAGCGCCCGCCCCGCCTGGCTAGGCAATTTGCATCATCCCATGCATCATCCAGTCATCATCCTCCTCAGAACCTCGGAACCTCTGGCTCAACAAGTTCCACGATGCGAAACTCAACGCAACAACGACAAACAAGAAGAGAGCAGCTCAAGCACAAGAGCTTTTTGGGAAGCGCGACAAGGCCAATACCCACGGCACTGCGAACGCTCGACCCTAATGCCTCAAGCGGCGAATTAAACACTGTCAGCTCAAGCAGCTGATCATAGGTAATGAACATTCGCCGGCCCATTGGAGGTCTCTAGGCGTGTGAGATTATTCCCCCACTAGTCCCCCCAAACCAAGCCCCAAATCGCGTGTCTGAGTGAAAACCGAGTTCGGGTGCCATTTGCATGGGCGCCCAATACAAATGACTACTGGAACGGGCCGACCCCCCGTGCGTTCCCGAGGCCCTATTGCGGGGGAGTTTGCATTGGCGGCCTATGCATATAGCCAATCGCACGGGACAGCCCCGCCCGACGACCCCTGGCCGAACGCATCGGGAGTTCGCGCCCACTTGCGTAGGCGCCCTATGCACATTGCCAATCGCATCGGCCCACCCACCCAGACGAGCGTATATGCCATTCCCCGGTTAGGCGAAGTATTCCCCGGTTGGACGGGGAACTCCCCCGCTAGACGGTGAGAAGTTGGGGGCTCTCTCCCGACATGCGAGTTGATTCCCCAGCTGGCGTCTCTGACGAGTTTCTTGAGACCTTCAGAGAGGTTTCTCGACAACCTCTGAAAGGCTTCTTGAGAGCCTCGGAGAAGCTCCGTGACGGCCTATGAGAGGCTCCTTGGGAGCGTCAGAGAAGCTCGTTGGGGACCGCCTGAGAGAACACACGGCGACTGAAGACAGCCCCAAGAACGACCCGAGCTCGATCAAAGTCCCGCACAGAGCCCAGAAAAACGATACAGCCCCAGCTGCTGCCGCCACTCTGCCAGACAATCCACCAACCCCTGAGAACTCCCATTGGAAAGCATCTACTGCACTTCCAAGGGAGCCCGCGGTGCGGCGTAAGACCAAGCAGCGGCGCAAGCGGTTGATGAGGACTCGATACTGCGCCCTGGTGCTGCGCCCGAAGCAAAGCAAAGAAGAGACCATCCGATTGCCCTACTCCACCCACAGGGCCATGGCATCGTCCACGTCGCACCACCTGTCTCTGTTGGGATAGGTAGCCGAGGAGAGCTCCCTCCAGATCGGCGTCTTGAACATGCGCTTCTCGCAACCACTCGGCATGTAGATGTAGCACCTGTGGCCCTTCGGGGCTGGCGGGGTAGGCGGCGGGGGGGCGATGAACAACATCTGGGCGTCTGTGGAGCCGCACCACGCGTCCAGCATCTCCTTCACGTCGACTAGGTACTGGCTGCGGACGTTGGCGTCCTCCCTCTTGCGCCAGAAGTCCTTGGCGTTGAACTTGTGGTTCGGACATCCGCTGGGCAGCCAGACGTAACACCCTGGCTCAGTCGGCCTGGTGGGCCCCTCCCCCTCCTGTTGGGGCGCCGGCCTCGGCGGGTTGGGCTGGGAGGCAGGCGCGGCCGCCACGGCGTCGGCGCCGCAGATCTCGATCGTGGCGCCCCTGGAGTCCAGCATGCCCTCTGGCCGGCTGTGCGTCGGCGGCTGGAACGTGAGCCTCTTCGGGGCGCCCTTGTCGATCCAGAGGCCCGCCTCCTTCAGGCACGGGACCTTCATCGTGGACGTCATCCAGTTGGCGTGCACGGAGATCACGTCCGACGCCTTGAGCAGCTCGCGGTGGCCCCAGAAGACGTTGCCGTTCGTGAGCCAGTCGCTCCCCGCGACGCCGACGCGGACACCTGGCAGCTGGTCCAGCGCCTGGACCAGGGAGTACTGCTGGTAGTCGCCGTGCACAAACTCCTGGTCCTTGAAGATTCGCATGGTCGTTAACATCAGGTCCTCCACCATGGGCGACATGCGCATCACAAAAAGGCCTGTGTTGATGTCGGCACGGCGCTTTTCAGGACCGACCAAGATATCCTTCATGCCGCGTGTCGCTTATGTCTCTGCTACGTCGTCTACAGTCGTGGCCTCTTTAGACAGCATGTTATTCGGTGAGAAGACGATGTCATACACGTCGAATGTTCCAGATATGGTCTGGGCCTTCCCAGTGGAGACATTGATCAGGTAGTCCGTCGGGCAGTTCAGATAGACAATGTCTGGATCGGTGTACGCAGCCCATCTCGCCGTCTTGCTCATGGCAACCAGGGTCAACACTACATGCTTGCGGAAAACTACCGCCCAATATTCGTGCGACCCCCAGGCCACCTCGTCCTCAGAAGTGGCTGACTCTCTGAAGACCTCGACGCAGATAGGTCCACCGGGCTCCAGGAATCTCGAGCAAACGTTGCCACCTAAGCCAACAACAAGAACAGGGGTATCGCACGGCACGGCATTCAAGCTAAGAATCATATTCTCGCCTATGCTCACCATGCCGCCATCCAGCACGGTCACAAAGAACGTGCCTGTCTTCTTGCTGGCGTTTCGGATTCCGCCCAGCAGCCTCTCGGCATCCTCTTTTGACATGTGTCCATCCTCGGCTGCTTTGTAAAACGGCTTGTTGTTTACGGTTGCGCTCAGTTCCATGGCACATGGAGATGATTGTGGAACTTGCGACAATCCAGAAACCACCGCTGCAAGCAAAGCGTAGAGCAACGCCGCCACCACCCCCATGTCGGAGTGTTAGAGCACGGACAACACTGAGGGTGCAGATGTACGTGTACAAAATTCAGGATGCACTACGCCCTGCAGCCAAATGGGACCACAATAGCTACGGAAGCTCAAGCTCAAGAGCTTGAGAAGCTTGAAAGACCTCTGCGCTTCCTTATTGTCCGCCGTCCTCGGTGGACAGGGCTTTCTGCGGATGACTGCCTGGTGCGAGCAGTGCGCTGCACTGACGCCCACATGGTGTGGGAGGTGTCGCCCCGCTCTCCTCCTCCTCCTCCTCCTCCTCCTCCTCCTCCTCGAGTCTCCACATGAATCCCACCGGTCCTCTGGGCATAGGTGCTTTCTTTCCTCTTCCAGAACGCCTCCCCCTCCCCCTCCCACTCCCCCTCCCAGAGTTTCTCCCTCCCCCTCCCCCTCCCCCTCCCCCTCCCCCTCCTCCTTCGGAGAGGGGTACGCTCCCCCTCCCCTCCCAGAGGGTTCTGTTGGGGGGCTCGCGAGCGGTCAGGGCGCCGAAGATGACCCGAGATGGCTCCAAGAGGGCGTCCGATGCTCCAAGATGACCGCCCAAGTGGCTCAATGATTGACTACCTACCAGGCCACCCCAACCCAACCCGAAGACCCGAATTTCGGGTTGGGGGGGGGGTAAGAGTTCCACGTGTGTTTTTTCGATGTTTCCCGACCCCCCCCCACTAGAAATCGACTGTAAATTCGAGCCTTCGGGTTGGGCTGGGGTGGTTTGGTGGGTGGTGAATGATACCGGAGAAACACTCAATCAGAGCCTTTGTTGATCTCACATGAGATCTCTTTGTAATTGCTTCTTAGGTGTGTGAAGTCTGCGAGTGCTATAGGGCTATAGGGCTATAGGGCTATAGGGCTATAGGGGTATAGGGCTATAGGGTTATAGGGCTATAGGGCTATAGGGCTATAGGGCTATAAGGCTATAGGGCTATAGGGCTGTAGGGCTATAGGGCTATAGAGCTATAGGGCTGTAGGGGCTAGAGAAGCACGGCGTCAGGCTCGCGGACAAGACGGTGATCATGACCTCGGACATCAAGGCCACGAGAGGCATCAGCAAGGCGCTCAAGTCGAGAGGAGTCATCGTGAAGGCGGTCAGCGAGGGCAGCGACCTAGGAGCAGAAAGGGCGGCCAAGGGCACTACAATGAGGAGAACCCATGGAGCGAGGTGGCGTGCGGCAGAGACCAGATTCAGACAGGTGGGCAGCAAGCTCAGGAAGTTGAAGATCGGCAGGCGACGAGGAGTAGTACACCAGGGGCCCAAAGCATCACTCAAATACGGCGCACTCCGTAGGGAATCCTTAAGAATTCCTAAAGAATCCTTAAGAATTCCTAGGGAATCCTTAAGACTCCCTGGGGAGTCCCTAGGGACTCCTTAAGCATCCCTCAGGAATCTTCAAGAATCCGTCAGGAGTCCTTCAAAATTGCTAAGGAGTTCCGAAGGAATCCTTCAGACTCCCTAAGGAATCCTGAAGAATACCTAGGGAATCCGTCTGGGACCCTTCAGAATCCTATAGAAATTCTGACAAATCCCTAAGGAATCCTTAAGATGCCCTAAGGAGTCCCCAGGGAATCCTTAAGAATCCTTTAAGAAACCTTTTTGGGAATCCTGAAAGAATCCTTACGGAATCCTGAAGGAATCATCCGTAATCCATAAGGGATCCTCCGGGAATCCTCCGGGAATCCTTCAGAATCCGTAAGAAATCCCTAGGGAATCCTTAAGAACGAGGGTGCGCCGCTGGATCTCCCCAAGGAGGGGGGGGGGGTTAGGACCCCCCCCCTTCCCCGATCCGTCGTCAGGGGCCCCCCCCCCCTTCCCCGATCCGTCGTGGGCGAACCCCCCGCCCCCCCCCTTTCCCCGACCCGTCGTCGGATGATCCCCCCCCCTCCCCCCCTTTCAAAAGGGGGGGGGGGGTCCGACCCCCCCCCCCCCTCCCCCCTTTCCGCCACGCCGCACCCTGACTCCGGAACCCGACCCCCGCCAACCCTAGTCCTCACCGAAACCCAAGCCCCGAATCCTAACCCCAACCACTAACCCCAGCCCCAAAGAGTACTCACTACTCATTACTCACTACCCACTACTGACTACTCGCTATTCGCTACTCACTTCTCAGTACCCCCTACTCACTACTCACGACTCACTACCCACTGTCCACTACTCACTACCCACCACCCACTACTCGCTACTCCCTACTCACTACTCCCTCCTCCCTACTCACTACTCACTCCTCACTACCCACTACTCAATACTCACGACTCACTAAGCACTACTCACTACTCCCTACTCGCTACTCACTAATCACTACTCATTACCCATTACCCACTACCCACTACTCACTACTCACTACTAACGACTCATTCCCCACAAATCACTACTCACTACCCACTACTCGGTACTCGCTACTCCCTACTCCCTACACATTACTCACTACACGGTACTCAGTATTCTCTACTCGCTACTCCCATACTCGCTACTCAATACTCACTACTCACTCTCCGCCACTCAGTATTCACTACTCACCACTTACTACTCCCTACTCACTAGTCACTACATAGTCTCTAGCCACTAGTCACAACTTACTAGTCACTAGTCACTACACACTACGAACTACCCACTACTCACCAATCGCTACTCACTACCCACTATTCGCTACCCACTTCTTACTACTCACTACTCACTACTCCCTACTCCCTACTCCCTACGCACTACTCACTACTTACTACTCACTACTCGCTACTCCCTACTCGTTACTCACTAATCACTACGCACTACTCACTACTGAGTACTCTCTATCTACTTACTACTCACTACTCACTACGCACTACTCGCTCCTCACTACTCACTACTCGCTACTCCCTACTCGCTACTCACTACTCACTACCCACTGCCCCTACCCACTACTCACTACTCACTACTCGCTACTCACTACTCGCTACTCACTACGCACTACTCACTACTCACTACTCACAACTCACTACTCACTACGCACTACGCACTACGCACTACTTATTACTCACTAATCACTACTCGCCACCCACTACCCACTACAAACTACTTACTACCCACTACTCTTTACTCCCTACTCCCTACTCAGTACTCACTACTCGCTACTCGTTACTCCCTACTCACTACTCACTACTCGCCACTCACTACTCACTTATCAATACACACTACTCGCTATCCACTACTCACTACTCCCCACTCCCTACTCCCTACTCGCCACTCACTACCCACTACTCACTACCCAATATTCATTACTCACTACGCACTAACTCACTACGCACTACTCACCACTCCCTACTCCCGACTCCGTACTCCCTACACGAGGGGCGGGGGGTCGAACCCCCCCCCCTTCCAGCGCCAAGGGGGGAGGGGGGGGGGGGGGTCCGGACCCCCCCCCTTCAAGGAGGGAGGGGAAGGGGGAGTTCGGAGGCCCCCCCCCCTAGGGGAGGACGGGGGGGGGTCCGGACCCCCCCTCTGAAGGGTGGGAAAAGGGGGGAGGGAGAGAGGGGTTCTGGACCCCTCCCCCCCCCCCCCCCCTTTAGTGTATTCAGGGAGATCCACTGGCGCACTTTCCTTAAGAACCCCTAGGGCATCCTTCTGAATCCCTAAGGAATCCTCAGGGCATCCTTAAGAAGCCCTAGGGACTCCGCAGGGAATCCTTAAGAATCCTGAAGCAGCATTAGGAATCCTCAAGGAATCCTCAGGGAACCATTAAGAATCTTTGGGGGATCCTTAGGGAATCTTTCGGAATCATTAGGGAACCCTTGAGAATCCCTAAAGAATCTTTAAGAATCCATGGGGAAACCTCAAGGAGTCTTTAGGGAATCCCGGGAATCCTTAAGAGTCCCTAGGGAATCCTGAAGGAATCCTTCAGAATCCTCCAGGGAATCCAAGAAAGAATCCGTAGGGAATCCTTTGGGAAGCCTTAAGCATCCCTAAGGAATCCGTTGGGAATCCTCCGGGAATCCTTTAGGTTCCCGAGTGAATACTTACGACGGAGGGGGGGGAG